TTTGCCTCTTTTTATATCACAGTTTTTAAAAGACAGGCATTTTCAAGTTCGAGTGGGTTCAACTCTGTCTGATCATTATAATCAGGATCAGAGTGTCCCACAAGGCAGTATTTTGTCTGTCACACTGTTTAGCATCAAGATCAATTAGTTTATCAACGGTTTGAAATGATTCAATTGATGGATCATTATTTGTGGATGATTTCAATATTTCTTGTCGTGGTAAAAATATGCATACTATTGAACGGCAACTGCAGTTATGTTTAAACAAAATAAATAAATGGTATCTTGAAAACGGCTTTAAATTTTCTAAATCAAAAACTACTTGTATACATTTTTGTAGAAAATATAAGCCTCATAAGGACCCAGAACTATCTTTAAATGGCACTCCCATCAAAGGTGTAAAGGAGGCCAAATTCTTGGGCCTAATTTCGATTCCCATTTAACATTCCTGCCACATATTATATCCCTTAAAGCTAAATGCCTGAAGGCACTCGATTTGTTAAAGGTTCTCTCCAATTCAAAGTGGGGAGGGGGATCAAACTACCCTCCTTCACTTATACAGATCATTGGTGCGATCTAAACTTGATTATGGCTCGATCGTATATGGCGGAGCCTGCAAAAGCAACCTTAAACTACTTGATTCTGTTCACCAGCAAGGTCTCAGACTTTGTCTTAGAACTTCTCCAGTTGATAGTCTCTATGTCGAGGCAGATGAGCCTTCTCTTTCCCAACGCCGTATTAAATTATCTTTACAATATATTACCAAACTATATTCTAACGAGTCTAACCCTGCATTTAACTGTGTCTTCAATCCTCTTTATGAGGATTTGTATTACAAAAAGTCTTCTCTTGTTCCGCCTCTTGGGCACAGAATTAAACCATTCATTTCTGCTGCCGGCATTGAGCTGGAGAATATATCTTCTTCTCTTCTTCTTTCTTCTCCTCCTTGGCAATTAGTGAGACCACAAGTTGACCTCACACTGACTAAGTTTAAGAAAGCAGAAACTAATGAATTACAATATAAACAAGAATATAATCAATTAAAAAATAAATATAGTACATACAAATCCTTATTTACAGATGGATCCAAGGATGGTGGCGCAGTTGCTTGTGCCACTGTCATTGTATCCCAAACAATATCTTCTCGACTACCAAATAATAGCTCTATTTTCACAGCAGAAGCTAACGCCATATTAACAGCTCTTAAATATATTAATAAACACCGTAAATATAAACAATACATCATCTTTTCCGATTATCTTTCGTGTCTTCAGGCTATTAAAAATCTTTCTTGTAAACATCCACTTTTAATAGAAATTATTGAATTGTATAATGAGCTGGCTACTGGCCAATGCGACGTCGTCTTTTGTTGGTTGCACAGCCACGTTGGCATTTCTAGGAATACAATGGCTGATCTTGCTGCTAAGGCAGCACTCAATAAATCTGTGACACCACTTCCTATTCCATAGTCTGATTACAAAGCTAGCATTAGAACTTACATCCGTGATCTGATGCAGAAGTGGGACACCCAAGTAGGTATTAACAAATTACATGAAATAAAACCTTATATTGGTTACACCTACTTGCTTTGTCAGTCCAGATTTGAGGAGGTCATTATGCGACGATGACGCATTGGCCATACGCGTTATACTCACAAATACCTATTAAAAGGTGAAGTTCCTCCGTTTTGTATCCCTTGTGATGAGAGAACCACGGTCAAGCATGTCCTGCTTGACTGTCTTGAATTCTCCATCATAGGGGACAAATATTTCAATGTAAAAACAATGAAGGATCTTTTTACAAATGTTAATTATCATTTAATTATTGTTTTTTAAAAGAAATTGATTTGTTTGATGAATTCTGATTAATGTGTTTTGTAAATAGACATATTTTAAAGATTGGTAATTTAGATTAGTAACTTAGATTGTTACTGGCTGTACCTTCAAAGGGGTTAAAGTACTGTAAAATTATTGTACTCCTGAAAGGGTAAAATGTAAATTTACCATATTTTAAACGTAGTATCTTTGTTCTTTTAACTGCCGGTTACATTTTCCTACAATCGCCAGCGGCTGAAGGGATGGTGTAAATCCAGCTAGGGTCCATGCAGGTAGCAAAAGTAATGTAAGTCCCCATGGTTCCTAGTATGGTGATCAACCTTCAGTTGTTGGCGATCTATAGCCCGTGTTTTATACTGTATTGTCCTCTTTAATTGAAATGTTTTAGCCTTGCTCGCTAGTTTTATTCATATCTGTGATTCTCTAGTAATTTGACTGTCCATCGTCGACAGGATTTAATCTTCAAAACGTTTTCTCTTTATATTGTATAAATTGTTTTCGTCACGATATGGCTGAGATATTGCCGATGTGACGTTAAATATTAACTCACTCACTCACTCATACGACATGACCAACGGAGAGACAAATGTTCCAAGTATTCAATCAATGCACCAAAAATAATATTTGACTTCTTTGATTGGCATTCTAGAAGTTTGGTAGATGAAGAATGAGGACTATTTTTATGGATATACAACTTCTTTATTCTATATAGGCGACGTTTCGACATAGATTCTAATGTCGTTGTCAAGCAAGTGGTACATGGGAAGTATTTTTGGGTGATATATATACATGAGATGTTTGTACAATAGATGAGGGATGAGGCGAAAATGAGTTGTTTATACAATAGAAAAGGTTGATAACAGATGATTATGCAAGAAACGTTTTGTGTGTTTGAGAATCAAACAGAATCAAACTTAGATATCAAAGTGCATAAAAAGGCAATTTGAAACAACAATCGCTTGTTAAAGTGATTCGCCCTTTCATCTTTCCTGAAAGAACATGTTTTGGAGACACTACCCACCCCATTTCAGATGACGTAATCGCTAGGACATAACTTATTCTAATGTTTTCACTGGACACAACGTTTTTGACCCACATATGTGAAATTTTAGATATGCTTCCTTCATAATAAAATGAAATCTTTTCAAACGTTGGGCATCGAGATTATAGTTAGGCTCATTCTCGTAAAATGGCACGTTCTTTGTCTAGTTCTAGAAATACTACACTTTTTACACTCCCAGATAGTCCTAAAGCTGTTTTATAGGGTTCCCATTGGGGCTCCTTGCAGTCGACACGTTGATGTGTAAATGGGCGATGACGTCTTGTGAGCGGTGAGGCCAAGAATTGTCATCCATGAATATCTATCGAGTGGCAAGGTGACGGCGGTATCCAGTACTTCCTGTTGATAACGTTGACCATTGCGTGTCCCAGATATTGTAGTGAGATCCAATAACGAATGGATCAGCACACCATCATTGAGTCACTACTGAAGTGATGGTAATGTGATGGCAATAATACGGCGTCTCCATGTCTTCGCGACAATGGTTGTCGGTTACGTGTTGACTTTTATCAGATCAGTGATGCCCTTGCGCCAGACGTTCATGTCTATTTGTGATTCCCAGACGAATTAGGACGAATTAGATCATCCAGGTCATTGGTTGTCCTCGTTCATGAACGATCCGTTTACTTTACCAATAACCTGTGTAGTTAATATTACGTTTGCACGTTGTTGCGCAGGAAATTGCTGCGCCATGAATGTCAGTCACTTGCAATCGTATTTTTGTTTAAAGTCGACATCTTCCCATGTCAAGGCAATAGCCGCACAATAAAATAGATAATCAGCGTATCACAAACCGATTCCAGTTCGTGCTCGTTTCGTTTCAGCAACCACCATATACACTCGATTGTGTCCGGCATTGTACATTTCTTGAACAGTGCTCAAGAAGAGCACGAGTAGAAACGCACGGGATTATAGGATCAGCGTGCATGCTTCTCGTTTGACCTTTCTGGACAAGAAATAGCAGTTAACTGGCAACATTTAGTAATCACACATTTGCAACCTACATTTCACCAACTGTCGTCTAATTACAGATATTCAATATTTTCATTATTTGAAATCATTTCAGTGTGTATCAACATGTTTCACAGTAGGTGTCTGAAAGTTCTAATCAACATATCTTATGTTATCAACATCCCGACAATTAGTGTCCCAACAGGTGAAGGTTTCAAACAAAGAATATTTGTTCAGGACAGTGCAACAAATGAATCAGTTTGATATTAATTAGAACCTCCCGACCGTGTGTTGTGATTGAATTTGTCATTAGCTATAGACGTGGAGGATGGGAACATATATAAAGCGTTACATTTGAACACATTTCAACAGTTGACTTTAACAGTTTCAAGCACAATGAAAACCTTCTTCGCACTTGTCGTTGCTGTTGTAGCAAGCCAAAGTGAGTGTTTTAAATGAATATGTCATTTTCAGTTCTCAGTAAAGACGATGGCTCATGAATTTGGAGCTCCACCATATTGTGTGAATATATCCATGCACATAAGGAACCGTTTGCCAATTGCTCGAATCTTGTTAGTTACCGTTTGTCATGAGCTCGAAAAATGATTATTTTGCACTAATAATGTTTCACTGATGTTCACCCATTAACGTTGCCCATTTTCAGCTTTGGCCTTGTCGATACAGGATGGAAGTGACACGTGTGCTGATTGCACTGCATTCTTTACTGATCGTCAGGAGATGACACTCGAGAGGATTGTACGTACACAAATCTAATTGCTACCCCACGGTGGTGTTAAAGACCGCGTTTCTACAAATTGCGTTCATGTTTAGAATAGTACTGTATCAATGACACACTAATGGTTCACTCCATTTTCTTACCATAATGCCTAAATTGATGAAAAACATCATTTGTTGTTTCCAACTTTAAATCTGAATTTTCCACTAGCATAGAAATGTATTTGAAATGATCCAATTTGAAATTATTTCGAATAATGTAGTCGAAACATCCACTATATATCTATCAGTATTCTAACATAGATGAAACTGTTATAAAACATATGTCCATGCATGAAAAATACAAATAATGTGAAACAACGTGTGTTTCAGGATAAAGAGGAGGCACAAATGACCGAACGCTGTTCTTCACTGGAACCCAGCAAGGTGGAAGAGGTCAGACACATTTCTGTTCACATAAAACTTCCTGAACAAAATTAGATATTAGTGGAATGAGTAACGTATTGTGTGACGCATACATTCAATAGCTGAGACACTAAAGGTGGTTTTATTCTTTAACCATTTGCCTTCATTGTCTTTGCTTCGAAAGCATGTTAGATATCTGTAGTAAATAGGTAAAGAAAACGGCACAGCAATCTATGCCCATTGCATTATGTCACATTTTCGTGCTCAACACTGTGAATATATATATTTCGGGTATTATCGAAGGTAACATTGTGAAAACATTGTGTATTTGCAGTGTAAGAAAAATGTCGAGGAAATATGTCAGGAGAAGAAAGACAAAGCCAACAGACAGGTAACTGTTACCACTCACCTCATCAGCAACCCTTCTTCCTTCAATGAACTTATCATGAAATACATGGTGTCGTAAGCTCACGTTTTCATGACTTGATATCAAGGAAATATGATTAATGCAAAATGTTCAGGAACATACCAAATGAAATTAAATGGAATTTGGATACCTGGGGAAAGAGCTTGATTGGCAAAATTAGATTGTGTTTCCTTTAAGAGAGTAACATGTATACATGTTTAACAGCAAACGTAATATTGTCCAGTGTGGGTAAGATTAATGATTGGGTTTTAGAACATGACATCTAAATGTGTTCCTTTACAGAGCCCTAAAGCCATTTGTGAAGCCATCAAATTCTGCCAATCGCCTGATACCGTCAAGATGAACGAACCAGTAAGCAAGGCAAGATGAAAACCTAGTATTAGTTAATAAATTATAACACTGTTCCCTCAGATCAGAAAATGGACTATCGTGGCTCTGGATTTGGTCCAAACACTGTTGATGTTTACAGGCTGCCGTGGCATTGCAGCTGTCTTGTTAAATAAATACAATCTTTTTTATTCAAACTATGTGAAAAGCGGATGATGGGACAGATTATGTTTAAACTGATTGTCAGTTGTCATTTGATAAACTTTTCGCACCTTTTTTGTATCAAACTGACACTGTTGGGCGGATAATCAAGAAAGTGCTTATTTGCTGCATTGGCAATTTCTATTTACCTAACCTAAGTATAAGAAAACAGTAATGGGATTAATGATTCAATTTGCCATTTCATGTTTCTGCAGGTTGAGTCGAAACGCCGCTGCAAGGACTGCAAGAACTTTCTCAATGACGTCAAAGAAAAGGAAATGGCCAGTATTGTGAGTGACAAATATTGACAAGATTGTTATACACTCATATGTAAGCGTGGCATATTTGCACCATTTACCGAAACTCAGAAAGCATGTAGCATTTGTTTGTGTTTTAAAATCGCAGATATTGAAGTAAAGTTATTGCAAAATTATGACTATTTCCCTTCAATAACTTCTTTATTTTCACAGGCTTCTGTCAGTGAACTGATAGAAACCAAATTCTGTGGAACGCTAAGTGAAGATCGCCAGGAGAAGGTATACACTGAGATGTCAATATTTTGTTATTTCCTTTTGCATTTTCCGTTCAACATGACAAAGCCGCACCCTGCAACCTTCCAACTATATGACGGAACAAATCGAATCTGGACCAGACAATTAAGTGATTGACACCATGAGCATCGAATACGGTGACATACATGAGCCAAGTCAATCTCTTCGTACTATTCGTGACCAATAAAGTACGTAATAATGGACGTGCGAGGTCGATAGGGGTAGGGAGTAGGATGTGTGTACATGTATGTGTGAATACATAACCAAATTGATTGTATATAAACTTTCCATGTTTCAGTGTGAAGGCTTCGTAGAGACAGCTACCGAAAAGGAAATCGAACTACTAGATTTGGTTGTAAGTAAATTAGGGGTAAATGAGTGATGTAAACATAGTTTTTATCAATGTGTGTAATCGACTAACCAAATACACAACTTATTCTTTCAAGTTAATTATCTATCAAAATGACAACGTCTTTTGCTTATAGGATGTGAAAAAACACGTGCAAGCGCCTTGACATGTGTGGTGGCAACTAGTTGTAAGGTGAGTACATTATTGAACGTGATGCAGGCGAGGTAAGGTGACGTGTCATACTGTGAGTCAACCAAGATACCATGCCACTGTTTAACATTGATACCCCACCTTGACACATTATTCTGACCACTTGATCTATTGTACTGACATTGGGCTGGACGGTCTTTGTTTTCATCACTGTATACGAAACAAGTTATAGTAACATGTTTTTTGGTTCAGTAACATTTAAGCCATATCAGCCTGTAAAAACGGATCCACTTCTCGTCATTTGACCTTCATATGCGATGATGATGGAACACTTTCTTTATGACTAGTTATGCTGTGTACATGACACAGTTAACTTCATTTGGTATTTTCCCCATTGCAGATGCCGAATGTGCTGCCTGTCCATCCTTCATCCCCAGCGGACAATGTCACATGTAATATTTTGCCAATAAAACCAATCAGTTAACCACAGATCTTTGTTGGGTTAATCAGTTTAGATAAGCTATGAATAGTAGACGGAACATATAAATGTCTATGTCATTATTTTCACTTGCATGTCAACATAAAGCAAAGATGGTATCAAATAGCGATTAGGATCTCTACCGGCTTGTTAACTGACATGATCGATGGACACACGAAATTCCTATATCCTCAAATGAAACTTGCCGATCTTCAGAACTAACATTCTGAGGAAATATTAATTTACTTTCTGTTGCTTGCATGTAATCTTTAACAAACCATAGCCTTATGCCCTTTATGTTAAGAAGTTCAGTGTTATATACACTTTTTGGGCCGAATGTTTTCAAGCTTTAATCACATGATATAACTTAGGATCCAACATCATTCTTCTCACTGAACGAGTTTGAGATATACAGTGGCTCATTCTGGGCATCACTATATCCGGTCGAATTTGAAACAAAATGATAGTATGAAAAACAAATAATACCTTTAATACATGACATGACATGGAAAACAACACGACAAGAAATTGTGAAAACATTGTGATATGGTGATGCGATATGACAATATAGACATACAGGGGAAAAGCGACAGAGCAATATTGCTCGTCCTTTGTGAAATAAAGGAACAAGATTTCTTCTAATAACATAGCGGAAAGTAAGATAAACACACTCGTACACCAATATGCTTAAACAGCATGAACGAGGACACTTTTGCAGTACGAATGGTTCAACGCTCACCACAATATATATTCTTGCTATTCATCGTCGAGACGTCAATCAACTGAACTAATCAGAAACTTGTAAATATCACTGTTGGTCCTGTTTCTAGAGGGAAAATCAGTGCTGTGTCCATGTGCCTCTACATCTACATTCGACCCTCTGTCAGGTGCAGGACGAATCTCCTTCCAACAGACTAGTGGATCCACAGATTCTGATATGGTGGTGCCCTACAAGAAGCCAGTCGAATTCTCCGATGTTGAACAGTTGACATAATACGTCTGATGACCGTTCTGGGAGAACAGTTTTATAATGTTTTTAAAGGGATAATGGTATTAGGAGAAAACGATAAATAGACCTTTTGGATTTCAGATTGAGAACCCACAATGTCCGGATGGTTGGAAAAACGTATAGCAAAAACATATAAAGCGGGGAGGATGAGAAGTGAATTATACCAATATATTATATTATATATCAATAATGTCTCAAATTTTGACACTGACTTTAGAACTAAATGTCTCCATGTTGTTTTCTTGGGGAACTGTGCATCATTTACATAAGCTTGTACATAATCGAAAAGGTCACACTTCTTCATTGTGTTATCCAGCTAGGGTCCATGTAGGAAGCAAATGTACTGTAAGTCCCCATGGTCTGGTGATCTACCTCTAGTTTATAATTTTTCATACTTATTTTATATCTATATCTGTGATCCTCTAGTTATATTATTGTCCTTCATTGACAGGGTTTTATTATCTATCTTTAATTATTGTTAATCTATAACTTGTTTTAGTCGATATGGCAGAAAAATTGCCAAAGTGACTTTGAATTTTAACTCACTCACTCAAATCCTCGTCACGATATGGCTAAATAATGCCGATGTGACGGTAAATATTAACTCACTCACTCATAGGGTCATTGTCAGATACTCCTGAAGCGTTATTGCACAGATATTGTCCAACTCGCATGTAAAACACTTTTTTTTCACAAACTGGGATGATGAGGCCATGCATCGTCGTCCAAGATACAGTAACTTAGCCTTGTCAGTAGTAGCTTGCATATTTAGTGGACCGAGCGTCTGCGTCGTTTCTGCAGTTGAATACTTCTTGCAAAGTAACGATGTAATTTTTCCAGTTCATGTATTTCCGATGGTTTCAGGTTTGTCCATAGTTCTCAGCCCTACAGTATGGTGGGGATGAGCACTCGTAGCCATATCTTAACACAACAGACAGGACCAAGGACTCAAGCTTTTAAACCAATATCTCTAAAAAAAAATCTAAGGTTTTCCTTCTCTTTAAACATGCTTTCCTGATTCTAGTGTCTAGTTTTAGTGGCTATGTAACATCCTGCATAAATGATATTATATTGAACAGTGTTATTGTTATTGAGTTTGAACACATACCTATTGTCACGTTTAGAACCAACTGGGAAGACAAGTGTGCAGCACGTTTTAATATTATATAAAGTCTTCATTGGCAAGCATAACTGTGAACAACATCCAGTGCTGACCGCAGACTTGTTTGTGTGGAACTCATGACAGTTGTGTCTTCTGCCAGTAAAACAGCTGGGACATGCTCACATGCGACGATGAGTCCACATTTTAAGTCATTTACTTTGTGAATTAACTCATTTATACACACCAGGAACATCCAAAATGAACTCACCAGACACTGTCCAGCACCTTGAAGAACAGGAAACACGTCACTTGTACATCCACCTTTGTTGTCAGTTGACCATGTTTGCTTGTAAATACTGAAAGTAGTACCCGTCTTTAAAGTATATCTATAATTTCAGCTTTTTGTATATTTGGCTCCTACCTGATGAGAAATCTATGTGTGAAGTTAAACCTGTCATGATTTCATTAATTTATTTCAAGACTATTGTATTTTAAGCTATTTAGCATTTTGTTATAAAGTTGTCAAGAAAGTTGTTTAAATAATAGTTTACCTCGTGCTGAGTAAACATTAAAGCAATAAATATGAACAGAATCCATGAATGTAAAACACCTACTCCAGGCCTCGATTTTCCGCAGAAACATATTCAAGAACTTGAGCAAATCCGCCATCTTCTTGACCATGAAACGACAAAACTTCTTATGCAGACACTCATCACATTACGACTGGGTTATTGTGACTCCCTTTTCTTCCATATTCCTTCATTTCTGATCACAAAACGAACCCAAAATGCAGCAGTAAGGGTTGCAACGCGCACGCCGCGAACTGAGCATATAACACCTATCCTGAAGGCCCTCCATTGGCTGCCCGTGAATTTCCGTATTCAGTACAAGATACTTCTTCTAACCCAAAACTGTGTCTATGATGAATCATCGTGTAACTATCTCAGCAGCCTTGTCAGCATATACTAACCAACCCGTACTCTCCGTTCTGTCGACCATCTTCGCCTATCAGTCCTAATGACGAACTCATCAATGGGTGATCGAGCCTTTTCTGCCTCAGCTCCTCTACTGTGGAACTATCTACCTCTTCCTACAAGGACTGTCTCTAACAAACCTCATTTTAAGACTCTCTTAAAG